CAATTCTGAGTTCATTTTCAGATCCAAAAACAATTCTTTTTCTAAAAGGGATTCTTTTTGCACCTGAAAATGAACTCAGAATTGATGACATAAAACTGAATATACTAATGAATTCTTTTGGACTCTGTGTGCTATCTGGGACGGTATCTCAGAGACAAAAACATTTTATTTTAAACTAAAAACATTTTTTAAATAAACCGTTTAAACTATTTAAAATTATATGCAGCAAAAGTTTAATGCCATTGTCTTTCCAAATAATTTTAAGTATCATAAAACAGACTTAAAGTGATTAAAATGACCAATGGGATTATAATAAAGCAATAACTTAGCCTTTATGTAAAATTTTTTCGTTTTTTTAAATAATTAGTATCTTGATAACTATTGCGAAAATCGCAAAATGGTAGAGGACTTTTCGATTCAATTTAGCCCACTCTATCTGCCCACGAGCGCTTTACCACCGAACACTCTGTATACATATATATACATTGCGACCGCACTCACGAGCGTGCAACTTCGTCACTCGTCCGACAAGCTCAATTCCGCAAAAACGGTATAACTGAGTCTAACGCGCGATGAATTGTCACTCAGGCATCTCGCCTATCGAAAACGGGAATAAGAATTGGGCGCCAGGCACGTTTTAAAGAGTGCCGCTCTAATCAGAAATTTCGTTAGTCGGAAATATAATGACTCGAGAAGAAATCTATACTCATGCAATTAGACGCGAATTCGGTACGACGGTCGGACAAGGACGGCGATAACCGGCCTCTCAGCTACGGTAATGATAGAGGGGGTGGCTCGAGGGAAACGGTCAAGGTTCGGGGAGCGAGAATGTTCTGGAAGAAATAGCAGTGATTTATAACAATGAGAGTAACAAATATATTTAACGAGCAAGTATATTACAGTTAGGTAGTATAGAAGATACACGACAAGAGATGGGAACACTCGATACGCGAAGCAATACTGCTTGCACAAAATTGACGGAGACTCGCAATTCGCGTACTCTACGATCGTACTACGGGATCATATCTCGGACAAACGGAAAATCAAGCATTACTTCTCTCTTCAGCGGTACGATTCGCTAATTACTTGTCCCTCGCATCCGCATGACACGCGGAATCGGAAATCATGCAGTGCGGGCGTGATATTCGCTATAGTACGCCGGCGCGGAGCGCTCGGCGTACACGGACAAGCGTGATCGACGCAAGTTGAATCGAAAGTATATGACGAATACGTCCCGCGGGATCCCGTGATCCTGGAAATTCTCTCGAATTCCGTTCCGGCGGCGCAAGGCCTCTTCGGAAACGCTAATTATCACACGCACACACAATTACGGAAACATTACTCTACAATTATTGACTTGGCTGTGGCGTTCGGCGGGCGCGGGGCGCAACGGTCCTGTAATAAATCTCGACGTACAATGTCAGACGGGGCGCTGGAATATATGAAAGCTCGGCTCTAGCCGTGTCGCACAACAAAAACGATAATTATTAGCGCGCACTCCTTGCGGCCCGTCAAACACACAAAAATCGGCGGCTTTACATCAATACGCTCGTCTCACCGAGAACTCCTCCTCACGGAAACGGCAGCTCGCTTTTCCTTCAGCGGACTTTATCTCTCGTACGGTTTTATCCCTCGTACAGTTTGGTCTATCGTACGGCTTTGCCTCTAGTCCTGCGTCCTTCCTAGCTCTTAGCTACAGCACAAGTGCCGGGCGCCGCTGCTTCCGTGATCTCGCCAGGCCGGTGGGCCTACGTGGTACATCCTTACGTGCCCCTAATTGGCGGGTGTGCGAGCTCGCGACCTCCGCGAATCGCGTGAGGTGCGTAGCGCCGCACAGTGGATCGAAACATAGAAAAGGACGGACATTGCATCTGTAAAGACAAAATATAACAAGTAAAGGGAAATGATTATTCGTACATGATTAAGAAGTGTGTACCTTAACAATTTTAATAATTGTTGTATGCAATATTGCAATAAGCAACAATTTTTAACAATTTTTATAAACTAACAGTTACCGCCGGCATTAGTATTAACCGATATGCACCACGAGGAAGTTGCACGGACGGATTTTGCATATCGTGTGTGAGTGTGTGTGTGTGTGTGTGTGTGTGTGTGTGTGTGTGTGTGTGTGTGTGTGTGTGTGTGTGTGTGTGTGTGTGTGTGTGTGTGNGCGTGCGTGCGTGTCGTGCGTGCGTGCGTGCGT